CCTTTTTTTTTTTTTTTTTTAATATGAAAAACACAAATGTTTATATTTGTGCATGTGACAGAACGTGGTTTTTAACAAAGCATAATCAGATACAGTTAGCTCATCACCCTATAGCTTCGAATATTCATGTCTCGAACAAATCTTGAGGTATATATATATTTTGCGTGGTATTAGCTGAAACTTTTGTGGCCATAGCTTAAGCCAAATCTGTCCCCAACGCGAACAAATGTTCCATTGTGTTCAAGATATGAAGAGTCTGCTGAATGTAGCACTTTTTAAGAGGGAGATCTGGTAGGGAGATTATGATGGGGTGTATCTCACACAAAAAATACTCCAAGCTAGTTGTATGTTCCTGTATTTTAGTAGTGCATTTTAGTTGTTGTTATTACTTTGATGGATCTCATTCTGACGTGCATTTCTAAGATGGAATTTTTAAAAATTGCCTTTTGATTTATGGGGCCCGGTGGATGTTGCTCATGGCCTATGTTCAAGTTGAATCTAGGAATGTGCAAGGCATGATAAATAATTATTTCATTTTGCATAAACAAACACAGTATCTTATTCTTATCTAAGTATATTGATTATCTGACCACCTGTCTGTTCAGGTTGTTTAGATTATACTTTACCTGCAAAGTCATTTTTATTTTATTTTATTTTGTTATAATGGTGATTATGATATTTTCTCAATGCAGGTTTCCAGTCAAAATTTGCTGAAAATTTAAAGATATCTATGCCTCTGTCACCTTCTCATTTAAATTCCCTGGAATCTTTTTTTAAATGACTCTGTTAATTATTTTGGTTTCAGTGCTTGTATATGTCCTGCGTCGCCAACTAGTTTTTAAAACTGGCTATGTCTGTGTAGCAGTTTGTTTAGATATTAAATTCATTAACGTTTGTCATTGAATTGGTAATTGTTGCATTTGTTAACAGCAAGTACTTTTATTTATTTCTTGAGATTTGTAGAAGAATCTTGCATGAGAAAGAAGAAAGTGAACACATAAGAAGTTATTTTAAAACAGTCAATGTTATGTATTACACCATAGATATTACTCATATTTATAAATATATATATAAATATATACATATATATTTAGGGACTGCTGCAATGCCATTTGATAAGGAGGGGAGAAGAGTCATCACCAGAACTCTTCAATGTTTTCCAAACAAGTCTCATTTCCACTACAACAAATTGAGGTGCTGTTAAACTGAAAGCGAGACAAATGTAAAGCTTGTAGCTCTTAGGGCATACTAAAACAGCATTATCTAGCATAGTATGAAAGTATATAGTCACTATATCTATATATATGTATCGTGTCTTAGCTTTCACATTATCATATTCAACGAAGTACAGAGATGAAGATAATCGTCCACTTTTCAAAATCAGAAATAAACTATATATTAAACAAGTGGGTTTGTTTTTTCCGTCCTATTCGCCACAGGTCATAATCAACTATGCAATATCCTCGTTGGATCTCTGTGGTCAAAGGAAAAAATGTGCAAAAAAAATGTGCTCAGAATTAGCCACTGCATCCAACAGGCCCGTAGCCAGCAATTTCAAAAGGGGGTTCTTTTTCTGAAAAAGTGGACCTTTTACCATGAAACGTTCCTGTGCCTAGATAAAATTTTACCCGTAGGGGACCTTTTCCCAGCAAAAGGGGGGGTTCTTTCGAACCCCCCGAACCCCCCTGGCTACGGGCCTGTCCAAGAATATCTAGTGCAACACTTGTGACAGGAGTGGTAATCCTGGGAGTAGAAGTTCGGTGTCCCATATGATTAGTATGTAGGTTATATAGGGTTAATTGGAGTATTGGGGTTAGTATTTGGGACTTATGTCGACGGTTCAAAGTAATGGAGAACGGACTACGGTTCCTAGTGGACTTCCATTCCTGTCACACTGGGTAGAGGTTAGTTGCCCACACTGATTGGGAAGCCTAGGGCGTCTAAGATTTCCTGGCCATGCGTACCCACACCGGGTGTGTGACGGTGATAAGGTGACTGTCTGGCCACAGCGCTCGGAGACTGAAATCAGATAATTAAAATGATGAAATAAGTTGTACATGTCGTTCAAAGCTGTTAAATTTAACTAAAATTTGATATTTTATAGTTGGATTAAAATTCAAATATCGAAAAAAAAAACAGCGACTTTCAAATGGGACATTCAGGGAAAAGCAGCGGTAGAGCAATAAAGATGGAATATTTTTCACCAGCTTTTGTCCATTGTGCATTTTAAACCCACCGTGTTCACACAGGTAATCATTAGGCAACGCCTGTGTCTCAGGTGTTCCTTCATTTTAAAAAAGAAATAGACCCATCCCCCTCCCCAAACACACTGTCGCAACCACCAAAACTGTCCCAAAGAATGGTCTCTATGAATATAGGCCTATACAAGGTAATTGGAATATTTGAAATGTAAATTCGTTATATTTGAAACTAGAATTTTAAAGATAGAATAAATTCAATCAAATTATTTAATATTAGTTTTATTATTACCCGAACATAACTTGCCAGAGCGAACTGGAGGTTGGGGGGGGGGGGGGGGGGGGGGGGGGGGGGGGGGGTCATCCTTACCTGCTCTCTAACCGCTCTAAGATGCTCCCAGCGTCAGAACAAGTTTTCATCAGGTTCCCTGTAGAAGACCACGATTTTACATACCCAAGTATCTCAGAAACTGATATATCTTTTTTGATGTCTAAACTGTCTTCCCTGAATTAAAACAAAATATAAGTGAATGGACTGATCCTTATATCTACAACCTTTTACCAGTAATACGTTTATGTAGATTGTAGGCCTATCAAATTTAAGCTAGCGTACACCCAGTCAAGGACTGAAAGAAAATTAATGAGTGAACACTAAATGCCTTCATAATTGACAGTTTCTTTTGTACAAACACGTTTTACACGGCATTAACATAATAAAAAAATGCCAAATTAACTGCCATTACAATGTAAATCCATAAAACGAATTTGTGACCAGTATATCTCATATATCCATTGTTAGCTACCCCACCTGGTGTAATCTACAAAAGGCTTAGGGAAAGGAGCGTCCACGTCCCTGGCAAAGTGCGTCACGTAATTAGTCTCTGCTGGTTCCACCCACATATTACGATCTTGCAGCAAAATAAAATACTGAAACAGAATAAAAGTCGTAGGAAAAGTATCCGAATGTGTCTAAGGGCGCATTCCCAATGAAACTGTCGGTCTACTACTTATATCGATCCAACTCCGCGGGGACTCTCGCTGAATGCAGTTATATAAACAGACCGGCACGCCTGCCCTTGTCTCCAGCGTGCTCGTATAAATACCAGCTCTTTTTTATGTTCTCTCATCTACGCCAAGAGGAGGCGTGCTAATCTGTTAATGTGATTGCATTCAGCAAGGGTCTCCGCGGAGTTGGATCGATCTATGTAAAACGATAATTTCATTGGGAATGAGCCCTATGTATCGTTGCCAGATAATGCTGTTAAACAGACAGGAAAGGCTTAGAGTAGCTAAACAAAGCCCGCAGTTTCTGCGGCTGGATACCCAAAACATATATCACGATGTAATTGTGCATTGGCAATTAGAAAAATGTTTGCATTGTGTTCAGAAACAACATCTCAGGAAATTCTGTCTGCAAGTTTTGCACTTTCATTAAAATACTGAATATCGGTCATACATGTACATTGTGTTCGAATAAAAAAAAGACAGTAGTAACTGCAGCGTGTTTAGGATACTCTTAAAGTTTACCTCGTCGAGTAGGCGTTTGATTGCGTCTCCATTGCTACTGCCATGAATGTCAGGTATGACATCATAATACAGCACAGCAAGGCAGCCATTGGGTCGCAAAATTCTCGCCGACTCCTACAATCAGGAAATGATAATGACATTAGCTAAAGTTCTGAAACAATTACATACACTCATCAGAGGCATTTTTTGGCATCAGAGGGCCAAAAGGGAGGTGGGTTACTTTTTCTCAGATTATGTTCATTTATTGTTGAGAAGGTACTTCCTGATGTTCAAAAAATGTACCAATGACCTTACTCTTAAACACGTTTTACCATCTCTAAAGATATTCTCTCCAGGATTTTCACGCCAAATCGAATTTTCCTTTAAAAAATAAGCATATTTTCCTACTCACAAATCAGTGCTCGACGGGCCCCTAAGATAGGCCTACAGTAGGTTCAAGTACCAAACTATGTTCAGTTTTCACAAGAAACAAATGAAGTACACCCATAAAATTTATAACAAAGCCAGCTCTACTGGCACCTTACTCGCACAAATCTTCGATTTCCACACAACATTGTATGACATTCATCTTTAAAAGTTTGTAAAGACACCATATGTTTGTGAACAATGCAGATAATTATTCAACTGGTTAAATTTTAACCACTTTCCTTATAAAAGTCGTTCATGTCGAACCAGTGAGCGGCAGTGGCGGCGGTTACTAGGTCTGCGCTGTCGTTAGGTACTGGTAGTTTCTCAGCATTACCCACTCTGGAACAGAGTATTATCCAAGACAACATAGGTTTCTTTCCTACACATACAAATATGTGAACATAAAGAATGAGGAAAAGAAGCTTAATGATAGAACCTGCGGCGACAATGGCATAGGTTTTCAAAATGTCAAAATAAGTACATTGATTGGAAAATTTCAGAAGGGCATAAGACCTATACGCCTGCTTGGCTGTTCCGCAGGTAGAAAAAAATCACACTTGGTGAACTTTTGTATAAGGTATTCCTCAACCTAAACAAATGCAAACATCTTGGCATGGCGCTGCGATATATTTCCATACAATGTATAAGCGCAGTGCATGATACAGCATATAAATTACTTTTCTTCATTTATCAGAATCTGATGCAGGTGAGGTAGCCATTATGGCAGTCGTTACTCTCCGACCAAAATAGTCTCTTACAAAATTGATTTTCAATATTCTATATTCTAGGGAACCAGTATACTGGACCCAAAGTATATTGTAGTAGAAACCACTGTAATAAAAGAAAATACTCCAGTCGGAATTAAAATTTCAACGGGAGGCGTTCAGTCCGTCCATGGGCGCATTCAGAGCCATTTGATACTCAGACTAGTAAGTCCTAGGATCAACTGTTTCTGAATGCGCCCTATGAAGCAGAAACAACTCACTGATATGTGACATTAGGAGGCACACAGCCTTTGTTGGCATTTTCCACTTGATAAGGGCTCGGGTCAAGCCCTATAACACGTTGAAAGTACGGGGCCAGCATCGTGGTGAACTGCCCTGTGCCACAACCGACGTCTATAGCCTGAGTGGGCGGACCAGGGAGCTGGGCACGAAGAATCAACGATGACTATATAATTAGGAGAGAGAGAGAGAGAGAGAGAGAGAGAGAGAGAGGATGACTAAATAATTAGGAGAGAGAGAGAGAGAGAGAGAGGGGATGACTAAATAATTAGGAGAGAGAGAGAAAGAGAGAGGATGACTAAATAAGATAGCAAAGTGATCAACTGACTTGTAAATTTATATTATTGATTATAGTGAAGACGCTTGCGAGTCAATTTTGAGATCTGTACACGGCAACAACTTAAGTACTTTTCAAAACCAGACGAAGACTATGACATAGAACCTGGAAGTTTCTCTTATGTAGAGGACAGATATCAATAAATTTAACACAATTAACACAATTAATGTACACAAATTTACCACTCAAAATAGGGACCCCTACCTTTTCTCCTACATAGTCCATTACCCGTCCTACTATGGTGTCTGTCCAGAGAGGTCTGTACAAAGAGTACGCCTCAGAGGTACTCTGATCGTAATGAATGCCAGCGGTGGACTTGTTCGAGTCCGCCATGGTTCTTATACTGTGGGATGTAATCGTATAATATATATCTAATGATAAGTGACACCGACTACTGTTAACCGCTGTTATGAATGTAGGTCGAAAGTGCTGTCTCAAACATCGGCCTTATCAGGGCCCAAGGGCAAGGAAAATGTTTGTGAAGGGGGGGGGGGGGGGGGTGCAGCTGTTGAAGGCCTATATATACACTCGACCAAAAAGATTCTAAACCCGCCCAGGCGAAATCGCCATGTCGCCTAGGCCTCTATGACCCCAACACTATTTTGCGTCTAGTAAAATAACCATAAAAGATACCAAGTCTGTAAATATATCTCCTGAAAGCTGATGAAAATGAGACAAATCCATGAAATTTCATGGGAAAGTAACGTAAAATAAGAAAATTACACCAACATATAGATGCGCCTAGGGTCGTAAACAACCCCACCCGGTATGAATAGGGTTAACTCATTTGATAAATTGATGACATTTCGAATAAACCCTAATCGCGTTATATATACAATATAATAGCAAATGCATTTTAAATTGTTTGAAAAATATGCAAAACATTACATTTTGTAAAACCAAAGAACGTAGATAGAAACACTTATAAAATAAATAAGAATTATAATATCATAAGTAAGTCTATGTGCTCTAGAAAATGTCCAAAGTTCTTACTTCCTATCATGATAAATTCTGTGTCGACATATCCTGCATATTTTTCTCATTCCAAGCCCTACAAGCGTCAAAACCGCTCCTAATAAAGTTCGTTCTGAAATATACAAGAAGATACCCTCTGCTATCAGATGCCTCTGAAGTAGCATTCAAAATTAAAGTTGTAACAGACTTCTTGCGGACCCTGTGCTTAGAGTGGCTGCCAGTCATTTAAAACTAAATTATTGAATTTATATTATTAGAAATGGTATAAACATCACATCCAAGTGCAGGGACGAGAATTGAATTTGGAGACCGCAGAGTTGGATTGATATATATAGAATGACTGTTTCATTGTGAACGTGCCCTTAGAAGCATTCAAATAATTTTTCTTAGAGCATTTTCTGTTTCTGTTTGCTGCGAGATCGTAAAATGTGGGTAAAATATGGGTTTGTTAAAAGTAAACCGTCAATTATGAAGGCGAGACTTTTTTCATTCATCAATTTCCAACCTTTGACTGCGTGCTTGTAAGCTAGCTTAAACTGGAAAAAAATAATCAGCATAAACGTATTACTGGTAGAAGGATACAGATACAAAGATAAGTAAAATCACTTTTATTTTTCTATTGCTTTAATTCAGGGATGGAAATTTACTAACCAAAAAGACTCCAGTCCGTTCTAGCACATTTTTTGTAAGAATAATGACAGAACTAATATTCTTTAAATTGAATTATTATAAGGTAAATAATTAATTAAATTTTGAAAAATTCTCATTTAAAATATAATGAATTTTAAGTTCAAATATTTCAGTCAATTTCAAACACTTGTATGATAGTTCTTTGGGGATTTTAGCCCAGCTAATATCTTTGCACTGCGCCCAAAACGCGTGTGGATAGATATCTACCTGTAATAATAGTCCGTAAAGATACATTAGGTGGGTCTCAACAGCAGTCGTGGCCGAGTGGTTAAGGCGACAGACTAGAAATCTGTTGGGGTCTCCCCGCACAGGTTCGAATCCTGTCGACTGCGAATTTATTTTCTTTTAATATCACTCTTTACATGTGAAAAGGGCACATTGTGATAATTCATGGCAAATAGACGATGTCTTTGTATCGACATTTTTATTATGTAAAAGATATTGAGAGTGATTTGTCATACATGTATCAAAAAGTTTGGTAAAAAGTATTCGAAGTCCATAGTCCATAAAATTATAAGCAATCGAATGAAAAGGTAGAATCTAGAAGATGTGCCATCTTGGCTGCCAGTGGAATTGCGTAGAATGTGGTGAAAGAGGTAAAAATTATTAATATCTTTCAGTTTCACAACATATCCGTGCATCTGTTGCATTATTTTCTTATCAAATTAGCAATCTAAAGGAAGAGTGTGGTTACAGGAGTATATTATACATGTCCAGTTGCAAGTATTTTCCTTAAAAGGAAAACTACGCCTTTTATAAAATGAAAAGGTATGTAATCACGTCTTGTTTAATCATACTAGTTCAGTGCAAAAATCTGATCTATTTTTTTTCTGATTAATGTAAAAGTGGAAATTTCCAATCGTTACGATTAGAAAACGGCAGTCGTGGCCGAGTGGTTAAGGCGACAGACTAGAAATCTGTTGGGGTCTCCCCGCACAGGTTCGAATCCTGTCGACTGCGAATTTTTTTTCTTTTACTATCACTCTTAAAAATGTGAAAAGGGCAAATTGTGATAGTTCAGGACAAATAGGCGATTTATTTGTATCGACAATTTTATTATGCAAAAGATATTAGAGTTATTGATCATATATCTATCAAAAAGTATGGTAAGAAGCATCCGAAGTCAATAGCATGCTCTAAAATAATAAGCAATTGATTGAAAAGGTAGAATCTAGAAAATCTGCAAGTATTTTCCTTAAAAGGAAAAATTACGCTTTTTATAAAATGAAAAGATATCTAATCGCGTCTTTCTTCATACTAGTTCAGTGCAAAATATTCATATATTTTTTTCGATTAATGTAAAAGTGGAATCTTCCAGTCATTACGATTAGAAAACGGCAGTCGTGGCCGAGTGGTTAAGACGACAGACTAGAAATCTGTTGGGGTCTCCCCGCACAGGTTCGAATCCTGTCGACTGCGAACTGTTTTCCTTTTCACTGCAGTGACAAAGGCACTTAATAATATTTCAGTATTTAAACAAGGAGTTACAACACTAACTCCTTGGTTTAAAGGACAAATGTGATGGTGATAGTTATTATACTGTTGACTGGTAAATTTATTTGTCCTTTGGTGTAATATTAATATTCTCGTGTGGCCCGATGATCGCCGTCATGCTTTCTGATTGGTTGTTGTTATCTTGTCTGCCCTTGCTGCTAGCGCGAAAGTGTTAGATTAAAAAAAAATCATTCCAGTTGTTATATATCTCGTCAGACACCCTAGCTTATCACCATTATTAAGGCGAGAGATGGTAACGATCTTTGACAGAGGACGACGAAAATTCAGGATGGTCTGCGAACGCTTCTGATATTATATATAACGGTTTAAGGAATGAATTCACTTTAGACGCCATTGAGCGTTTCAGTATCGAAAGAGCGATCAAACTCCGTCTCTTGAACTGATTCGATCCCGTACCACAGAAAACTTTTTCCGTTCATCCCAAGGAAAAAAAACATAACGTTATCATAACATTTTGTAGTTATATTAACGTAATGGTAACGTTATAATAACGACCTGCAGGCCCATAACCAGCAATTTCAAAAGGGGGGTTCTTTTTCTGAAGAAGTGGACCTTTTACCATGAAACCTTCATGTGCCTAGATAAATTTTTACCCAGAGGGGACCTTTTCCCAGCAAAAAGGGGTTCTTTCGAACCCCCGAACCTCCCCTGGATATGGGCCTGACCTGTTTATACCGGGATGTCCCCTCATATTCCGCACCCAACGATTATGGCGTTCATAGCATGCCTAAATAGTCCTTCCATCTGACATTTTGTCACGCTGGATGACTGGCGTTTTGGTCCAGTATGCCACGTTTGAACAATGTGGTTCCCTATTTGGCTCTTGGTCTTTTCCATTCTATCTAATCACATTCATTTTTAAATCACAAATTGCAGAAAAAAGATGGTAACTATATGTTCAAATGAGCTTTTCCCTAGGCGGTGTCCTCTCCGCGTCCCGCACGGCCCCGTTTGAGAGTGAAAAAAAAAAAAAAACTTTACGTGCCGACACCTGGCCGATCACTGAGCATTCATTCTCTTACCAAAGGGGTGCTTGTGCCTTCTTTTTTTTTTTACCACCACAGCAATGCCAGTTTCATGGTCGCAGAAAGGACGCCGTCCAGTGTAAAGGGGGTTTAAGAACAGGTGGACGAAGCACGTAGGACTTAAAGGAGTTCTAAAGAATCATCCTTTGGCAGGGAAAAGTCCGCTCTGAATCAAAATTTGATCCGGATTCTTTCCCAATTCTCCAGCTGGGAAAACAAAACGGGTTGTGACAACCAAGGTTCGATGATTAGGAAAAAACCTCCCTTCTAGTTTTAAATTGCTGGCTACATGCGAGCATGCGAATCATTTTGTTACTAAAGCCTAGGTCCCAACTACGTTTTGGACGCACGGTTTTTTGGTTCCTTGCGTCCGGCTAGGACGTAGCTAAATCGCACGTAGCGGCTGTTGATCATGTCGAAAAGTTGAGCCTAGGTCCCAACTACGTTTTGGACGCACGGTTTTTTGGTTCCTTGCGTCCGGCTAGGACGTAGCTAGATCGCACGTAGCGGCTGTTGATCATGTCGAAAAGTTTCTACGTGCTGTTTGCGTCCTCCAAAAGTCGCACGATGGACGTGCTCCTCACGCACGAACTCCTTCCCTGCGATCTAGCTACGTCCTAGCCGGACGCAAGGAACCTAAAAACCGTGCGTCCAAGACGTAGTTGGGACCTTGGCTTAACGTATTCCAATTACATGGAGTCGGAACAGAGTAATATTGATAACAAAGCGCACAATTTCATGAAAATATTATATACTTCACCCATGAAGTGAATTTCATAATCAAAATTCAATATTTATTTGGCCGCTATTTCGTGTTTGATTATAGACCAACTGTGTAAGACGAATAAAATTTAATTCAAGGATAATATACAAGGTTTTATTGCATAAAATGAACTATAAAATGCATTGAGTACAGTGCCAGTGTTGTCAACGTATTACAAGAGTATCTTGGGAAAAACACTCTTTAAGTGCCAATAATTCACAAAACTGGTCATTATAATTATATAAACAGGTATCAAACAATTGATATTGTAATGTAGGTGAAGCACAATGGCATAACAGTGTAAAACACTTCTAAGCAACGACTGGAGGTGGTGGATTGCAGGCGATATAGAAGTAATGTGATATGGTTATTCTAGAATTTTACATAGCTTCTAGAATCTCTGTAATGATCTGCTCATTTGGGAAAGTTCCTACATAAATATTAGTATATCTCTATTTGAAAATCAGAGCACTTAATAATACCAGAGCACTATTCTTGTAACTTTCTATGATCAAACTCATTATTAGTCTCTGTCATAATAAAAACCTGTATTTGGAAGCAATCTGAGTATGATGGCATGGACAATGCTGTCACATTGGCCCTTACCACCAAAGATACCCTATTGCTTGGAAAAAGATGAAGTAATGATTTCATTGTGTAGGTAGCCATGGCTTCAATCTGACAAAATACACTTGAAAGTAAGTCAAGAGCAAAACATAAGAATAATAGTGTACATGTATAAGAACAGCCCAAATGCGTCAATATTCTACTGTAAATGCACTTGTGGTATAAAATATAATCTAAATACTGCACTTATTTAAAAGTACTGTGAAGTGTGATATGTCAGAAGGACAGGGAGAAAATATTTTCTTTATTGATCCATCTTTCTTTTTAATTTGAATGGAAATTTAAATAATTTAAAATACAATATTTATATCTATGCTTGAATTTCAAAACAAGATGTGTTACTTCCTGGGCACAGAATCTAATGAGCTGCACTCAAGCAAATGCCAAAAGTGAATGCAAAACAATACACTCAGGTGGGCACCAGTTACCAACAGGTTACATTCTGAAAAGTTGTTTGTAAATAGATTTTGTCCAAAGTCCAACAGAAATTCTGTTTATTTCAAATCATACTAACCATATGCCTATTTTGACTTTGTGCCCTTAAAGCAATTTCAGTGCAATTTCTGTTATTTTGATGCATTTTAAATTAACACATTATTCTACAAGTGCTAGATTTTTAACATCTGGCATTTTAAAAGGCAAATCTTTGTTGCATCTTCAAAATTATTTAGGGGGCAACAAAAATATGAGACAGAAAGTAGTGATCTGAGAAACAGGAAGTCACAGTTCCTATTTGCAGTTGCAAAGGAAGGGTCCATAAAAAACGAAGACCACTGAAGACGATTAAAGACTAAAATGTAGGATAACATAGTTTTTCATAGTAAAAAATAAAATAAAATTATGCACTCTGATATAAAATCATTTCACTCAAAATTGATTACGTCTATTGTGTAACAAAAGTGCAATGGTCAAATAGTTATACTAAAAGTTGTACATAAATAACAGATATGAACAGAATACAGTGAAGATTGCAAGTTCTTAACCCCCACTTAAAAATACAGTAATGTCAGTGACAGTCACACACGTCAATGCCTTTTCATACTTATATGAAGCTCCATGAATTGAACAGCAGTGCTTATGCATGCAGGCCAGCAGGGAATTCCCTTTGCTTATGTATTTCTGTCATCAAAGACAAATAATCTCTCGCTTAATCATTCTCCACTTCTTTCTATGTCTTTTAAATCAATGTAAGTCTTCTTCACTCTCTGATGTCTGCAACCTCTTCACCTTTTTTCTTTACAAACTTCAGACCGATATGAACTGTGGCATGCAGTTCAAAGCATCAGTTAAATTTGCTCTTCATATGGATGTTGAAAGCTCTTGGGTCAAGGTCAGTATATTGACCTTTAAGGTCAAGGTAATAAAATCCACATCGCCATATACTGATGTGGTGTTACAAACCCCCTTTCACTATTAGACGCCACTATTTACCCTGTTTAAGATCTCAACACCCCTACTGGGAGAGCTTACTATTCTGCCTGTCTGTATTACAGAACAAGCTGGATGAGTTCATTTTTGTTGTGTAAGGGGTGATGGGTTAAGACTGGAATTCTGTATACCCTTCAGCACCTGTGAATATCACATCTACCCATATTCGCATAGCTTCGGGAGACGGCGAGACTAGATAATACGTGCGATCGTAAGTCTTCACACAGAATGTCAATTTAGTATTGGGACTCTTCACAGTTCTTAAATGGTCCACGTACACCTCCTCGATGGCCTGAAAGTACATCCCTCCTCTGGGTTTGGCTTCGGACTTGTCCGTGTAGTATAAAAACGACCGCCTCACGCGGTCAAACACAAACCAACGTTTATGCCACGTTTTGAATCTATTGCCCATCTTGTGAAGGTAGCCCTTACAGCTGACCGCGTCCAATACGACGTGAGGACACAGCTCCAGGTTGTGACCGGCACTCTCTATGTGGAGACGGAGGTTGAAGTCCTTGCTTTTCACAGGAAGGTACCTTGTCAATGGACGGGACTGGAAGATACAGAAGACTGCATGTATTAACCACTGGCAGTAAAGATTTTCTTTAGCTTTGTTAAATACTGTGTTTCTTCAAATCAACAACCAGAATAAATAAGAGTTCATCTAGCTCTGATCTTAGTAGTTTTGAAAAATCTACTTTGCTAATAACATGTTTACAAATTTATAGTTGTTTTTTTGTGTGAATGGATCCCATTGTAAGAAAAGAAATTAAACAAAACATTAAGGCTTGCATAATATGACAGTTTGCCAAACAGGATGCGCTAGTTGAGACAAAGACACAATGTTCTCTGACTGTGCTAGTTGAGACAAGAACACAATCTCACCTGCTGCCTTTGCTTCTCCCTCATTTTCACTTGTTGCTCCACCAGCTCTTCACGCTTTGCTATCTCATCCTGCAGACGACGCTCAAGGTCCTCTCGACGCTGCCTCTCTGCCAGCAACTGGCGCATCTCAGCCTCTCTGAACTGGACCTAGGAAGGTGGAATGTGCGAAATGTGAATGTATACAAAAACTTACCCTTGAAATTACACAGTATCCCTTTGCAATATATTAGGTCTGCCACAAACTTTTTGCAAATTCGTTGCAAAATTGCAAAAGGAATATTACATTTTTGTAAATTTGCAGCAAATTGACAGCAATACAAATTGTTCTTGCAAAATCTTTGAAGCAAACTTTTCAATTCACTATTATTTTCATCTGTATGGCCTCAAAATCACCAAAAAGCTTTAAATAAACTCGCTGATGAAACCCCCAGTAAGTGTAAAGGAATATGGTTTAGTAATCATGCTTGCCCTTTAATTTAAGACTAGATGCATAAGATGACATTTTGGAGGGGAAGCTAATGACTTTTATGACTGAAGGTTTCGAAGTTCCTTAATGAAAGGAATTGAAAGGAATATGTGTCTTAATTATGGGAAGTCAATGTTAAAGAAAAAATAAAATAAGGTTAGAATATTAGAATATTTCAAAATAGTAAAAGGTACAGATTTTTTCTGAGGTAAATATTACTTAAAAAATACAATGGATTTACAGCTTAAATGCCAGAATGGCTTTCTGGTAATCATATATTATTTCTGGTCTGACTTAATCCTGCTGTGAACACAGCCAGCCCTGTACTGGAGTTCTGCCCATACCTGGTTTTCCAGCTGTTTTATCTTCTCCGTCTGTGCCTGGGACAGTGTCCTCTCCATCTCTGTCAACTTCTCCAGGTGGTCCTCGCCACTGCTCAGGCTGAAAGAGACAGGGAACAAAACTGAATATAAAATATGACATGAAAAAGTGGCAATGTACTATATCATTTTCTGTACCAAACTGCTTCAGTAGAAATGTCCTGGTTAATCCCACCTCTGCCCTGGCTGAAAATCACCCAGAGAATTATTCTAATTGTGGAGAGGACTGCTCAGGGTATGATAAAAGGTATTGCTGACCACAACGATCATAAATAAAATCTGCCAATGAATGATATCCAACAGTTGCAATAACACCACAAGGCAAAGACAAAGTGATCCCAGTTACCTTTTCCAAATTGCAACACAATGTGTTGTTGGTTTAAAATAATTTATTTATGCTATTCAAGTTAGATGATCAGTGAACCATATCATAAAATTTATCATTTTCATTTTATAGAGATGAGAGAAAAAAATGTTGAAAAGACATAACATTAAACAATGTCATCTGGAGCCCAGAAGTCAACAAAGTTGCTTATCTTATCTCTTTTCATACATATACATTCATCCAAACATCCATACACAAACCAAAGAAACACCCAAGGATAAGGATGTTTATCAAGATTTCCTATAACCAAAGGCTTAAGAAATGACCTTCAACTCTACCTGCCCTTGACCTTATACCTGACCTTGACCTACAACCAAAACTGCAGGGTCGTGTGATTTTTACCTGTAGAAATGAATCTCTACCACCTTGCTCTTCCTGGCGCATTCCCCCAAATCCAGACACACAGTTTGTGGCCTGCTACGCTGGTGGCTCCTCTTACTTTGGTGGACTATCTCAAACACTGGGTGGGGACCCGAGTCTTGGACGCAAGATCTCTTGACATTATTACCAGAGAACAAACTGCAGGATTTCCATCTCCTGAGAAATGAGGTAGTTTCCTCCTGGTTTTTCTTTTTCCTTTTAGAAAACATGTTGCTAAAAGTGTCAGTGGTTTAGATCTCACTTTCGTTGTTTATATTTACACAATACTGTTGACACTCATTTCCATAAAATGGGTAACGCTTTTGATAAAATGTGTGAGATACTGTTTACTGTCTTCAGAATGCAGATGTTCCTTTTACTGAAAATTCTTAATTATCCATAGTACCAAATCAATAAATAACTGACAAAAACCATCAACTCAATACAAAAAGTATCTGCCTTATTTTTTGCAGCTGCTTCCTATGTCTTAGTTCAGTACTACTGCCTTGGAACAGTTTGAACAATATCCATGAATTTATCAAACCATGAAATCCCAAGTCTCCAGTTTTATCCTAATTGTATCTCTTGTAGAAACACACAAAACACAGGATTCAAGCTTGCTACTTCTTATAAAACATTAACTGATGATTCAGTGTTAAGGCTGATGGATGTTTCAGCTCCACCTCTCTCTTCAGACAGGTTGTGTGGTGTTTAATGTCTTTTCAGCTATTCCTGCACATGATACTGTTATGATATTTTCCTTGAGCAACATGTTTTTTAATGCTGTTGTTCTTGTAAATTTAGGATAAACAGGAATCCGCATTCAAACAGCAGTGTTTCTAGGTAATAATTGACAGGAGCTGTACCCTTGGTAAAACAGACTGCTATATTTTACATGTAGCTTCTCATGGGGTACCTTGGGAGGATTCCAATATGCCTCTTTTCCACGTGTATCTATCTACTGAATAATAACTTTGGTCAATGTGTCGGTAAAAAGCTGCTGGTTTTCCCTTTCACCTTGTACATCGAAAAACGAAGCAATCCTTTAATATCAATAGCAACTTTTCAAGCAAGGTCTTTTTTTTTCAAAGAAACCATTACTGTAACTTTTTTCCTATCCATTTATATTTCCTTTAAATAGTAATCATAAAAGGGTGTAAAAGGGTGTAAAAAGTCTTTAAGCCTTTATCTCCTGTCTCTTTGAAATTATATTTTCCTTTACTATAACTTATCTAGACATATCAACCTAAATGAAATATGAAATAAAACCTCTTCAATGATCAAGTTGTTCTCCTACATCTGTATCTATTTAGTCGTCCATCACAATTCCTCTTGATAAACACCTATTCCTTGTACTTGTTGAGCAAATGTCTCCCTTTATAAAAGTGACGCGCAAATGTCTGACAATTCTGCACATCTAAAATGCTAGTCAGTCTGGTATGAGATGCCGCTTTCCTTTTTGTTCCCTAAGTATTAAGACCATTTCACCTTTTCCCCCTCAACATTCTATTGCATAAACAAGGGAAGGATATGCAGTGCATTCAATATCTTTCCTATTGCCATTTCCTTTGCCTCCCACAACTGATCTCCCATTCACAAGTGGGTGTTCCTGAGATTTCCATGCAATGGCATAGCTTCCAATTCCTTCCAGTGCAATTCCCTTTATTTTTTCTGAGAAACACTAGCTATCGGCTCCAATCCAGAGCAGTATCCCATTGTTTCTTTTGCAAAGCTGCAAAGGTTCTTGAAAAGGTAGTGTCACACTTTGGTCCTAAACACACAGAACAGTATTGGAGTAACAACTGGCAGTGTGCTTCTATGTTTCCCAATCATGATGGACTATCTCACACATTACATATCTGCATCAAGAGCCCCCCAGCTTCCCTTCCACCACTTCTACCTCAACCTGTGCCACTTGGTCTCTGCCAGACTCTGACCAACCTCACGCTGCTCTGGCCTTGGTACCCACACTCTTTAACATTTAAGGTTGAAATCCTTGGCAAATTAATGAGAAAATAGGCCACTAAATACCATCATCCTTATCCAGTATTATATACATCTAACAAGGGAGCCATGAACATGGATCCAAAACAAGGTACCTTTTGAGCATGGTCACAAGGGCCTCAATTTGAAAGTGCAGTGCCCCCTAGTGTGCATTTTCAATATTTCATTGAACTTTTTACATGATAGTCTACAGCATGGACACAGTCCAAGGTACCATGAATATGCAGATTACTGGGCCCCTATGACTGAAAACAAGGCCCTTGGTATTCATACCACAAACTGTTTGTTTATAAAGCACAGAATGTTGTAGATTTTCAGTCAGTAAAGCCTCACATTTACATTAAAGATTCCACTTAGGAGAATGTTCTACATTACCAAAACATACCGTGGTAAGTGGAGGGGCTGGTAACAGGCAACAATCTGCTCTTAACTCGGACCTCCCATAAGAGAAGTTGCTCTTCTGGTTATTTCAAAAACTTATTCTAAATGGACACCATATCGCCTATCTTTCTGTGATTGAAAACCTACCCAGTTACCTACATAGAAAATTGACTGAGTAATATTCTAATAGCTGAAGATCATTCTATTAAGGTGGTTTGATTGGTTCTTAATGGGTCAATGCAATTCTTAAAGGGTTGAAGTTTCAACCTTTTGGTTGATATTAAAAAGCATGCTTACAGAGAACCATGATGGCAACTGAATGGTTCTACGTTCAACAAAGGGGTTATATCACCTTATGCTGAAGGAATGAATAGGCACAATTTATACACAAGCTATCCACCAAATATTCCTACTTAACTTAGTGGTCAGTCAAGACACGCCTTTTATTCTGCAAAGAAACATTAACTTAAACATTCACTGCTCTGGGGGAAACTGAAACTCTATTTAAACAAATATACAGAACTGGTGGGCACACACAGCCTACAGTTGAATCACTGGGCTGCAGAATTTGGGGGTAAAAATAGCTTTAATGGGATCATTGCACTCCTTAAAGCCAGCAGGGGGCTAATTTCTGTGAAAATTCCTTGAACTGTGTTTCCTAAGTCTTTTCAACTGTACTGCGTGGTTACCTGTGTAAAAGGTGGATTTTGTTACCTGGATTAGAGGCAGGTGAAACAGCTGACTTGGCCATGTTTACAGTATGAAGGAAGTTATCCTCTGGCCAATTCTAATTGTGGCTTTTCTGCTGGTGAAATCAATCCTAAGTTTTTTTATGGGGCAAAGCACTATATGGATAATTTGGTGAACAATATTTCAACTCTGCAATGTCTTTTTAATAGGTTAGTGTTTAAGGTTGAGAGTCAATTTACTTACAAAATTTGATGCTTTTCAGTAATATCAAACGTTACAAAACAGTATCTAGCAATAAAATATATTTTGTTCATGTATCTAAGATCAGTACTTCTATGGGCCTAAGTCAATCAGGTTTCCTTAGTCAGTCTAATCTTCAACTGTCTTTGATATATCAGCCTAAAAAGCCACACAACAGAAAGTTGTCTGGCCAATACAATTCCAGAATAATACAATTATCAGACATTATTGAGAATTCTCTGTAATCATTCTGTGAAGAGACCACATCCTACCAACCACAGTCTCCTTACCTGACCTGTTGACTTCACCCTCCCAGACAGACAAGTATTCAGCGCTATTTCTGCTAAATACTTACAGTTTACCTTTGATATTACATACTCCATCACAACACACCTACAAGTCAACAACTCTCTTCTTCAGATAAAAGAGTTAGGAAATAGACTTAGGCAGAGAATACACAGCGCTGGAATGGTACAACCGAAAATGTTGTTGTACAATATTTCCCCTTAGGGCGATTATTTTATCTTGGCAAGTATGACCCAAGGTTGTGGTTCTATTTTCATGTTCATGTCTGCCACATTTTTGTCCTAAAAGTCTTCGAATTACTTGTTATATAGAGTTATGTAAGGAAAAAAGTTATTTCTACATTACTATCTTCTAAGATTCTTTTTCGACAAGCACATTTATACTCTACTTTTATACTTAAAGGGATAATAACTCTCCGTATGAGATTTGTATTTCACAATAAAAACATTGTGAATAACTCACAGAAATATAATATATTCTGTTTTACCACAAAAACAGCAGTTATAGCTATTATTCTGATATCTGAGTTGGTCTTAAGACCACGTGACCTCCATTGATGGCTGTACTCTGTTATAATCTCTTAAGAGATTTTAACAAAAAATCAAACTTTTTAGAAAAAAACCAGGGACTAACTTTGAATGTAAAAATGGATTCATTAACCATCGGTAAGTATGGGAAAATTGTTGTTTACTCCA